TTTAGTTTTTGGCGTGAAACTCGTTGTGGATCAGAGCTATTGCTAAAGCAAGATAGCGATCTGGTAGAGCTTGCTTTGCTCTATCAAATGGTACCTTGCAACCTACTTAGAAATGAGAAGTGTATGACTTATTGCAGTTGGAATTCAAAACCTGCATTAATTTCCGGACGACCTAATAGTAGAACGCGTTGAGTCGTTGACGATTTATTAGAAAAACACAAAGATTCCCCCTATACACATCGGCGTATGTGCCGCGGGTTCACTAGGATCAATGCAATAACAACACGTAGATATCTCAATGTGTGGCGGGTACGCCGCAGCCACATATGCCGCCTCAGCCTAATCTATCAATAGTGAGCCAGTTCCAATATAAGGGACGGCTCTACAACATATAATAAATCTTACTCAATGATAGTGATTGAATCGTTTGATTTTCTAATGTTGTCGGCTATTTAATCGAACAGGTGCGCTTTGTACGCACGATCTATACACAAACAAGATCGGATAGGTGTCCGGGCATTGCAGACCTACCCGATTCTGCCTGGCCGGACTCTCGCACTTTCGTGTATCATAGGTCTTGGGCACCTCGCTTGAATTACGGCTTTACGACAACACCTACCCGAACGGGAGATTGATACATACCGCACTTGACCAGCCATCGTAAAAACGAGCAGAAAGCATGAAGGCTCTACCGAACAAATGAGTATCGTTTTTGTTTTGCGTGTTGAATCACTCCCAGTGGACCAAGTTTGTGCGAATTTTGAGGTTTCCAAGTATTGGACCATTCATATCAATTGGTCATGGGGAAACATGATTAGTCGTTTTGGGGGTGAGTTGGCTAGCTTTTCTTGTACTTACCCAATACAAAAACTCTTTCTCTGCCTGTATTAAACATCCAAATGACCACCAAACTACGGAGTAAAGAGCCATCCAGAATCTCACTACTCAATCACTATGCGTTGCATCCTCTATTAATACTCACTGGGGAAGACGAAAGGCTCAAATCGCTAATGGAAAGACTAGGAGATGTAAGCTATAGAGACTATACATCCTTGCCACTTCCCATTGCTATACGTGTATTTAGCACATTTAGCATGCTACCGTAACCTATCTTTCGTGAACTCTTACAATTAGTGCGAACGCGGGCCTTAAATTCCGTTGCAGTGGGGTTTTCGTAACGTCCGTGGGCCATCCGATGAAAGGACCGTTGATGTAAATCGAGGGCCTCGGATCGGCCGCTGCGTTGATTAGAAACTGCAGCTCGCTTAGACTATCTTAGTGCAGTGAATCAAGAACCCGATTGGGCCCCACCACAGCGCTCATTCTGGGGCCAAGGTCAAGCTTGTAATGCGATTGTCGCAGCGGGGGGGGGGGAGGTCGTAAGAGGAGGTAGTTAGGCTAAATACCCTAAGCTTAAAAAGGAACCAAAAAGCAGATAATTAGTGATGTTCTTTACAATATATCTATAAAAATGTGGAACTCAGAATAAAAAAGATGAAAAATCTGTAGAAATTCTCAAAAAAACATTTACAAGAGCTCAAAACACTTCTGTTGGATGTATGATTTGATAAAAATGCTAAATGTACCGATTGCCCTAGAAATCTTGCTTCTGAAGCCTTCCTGAAGTCTCACCACTGGACAAAAACGAATATCTTTACCAGCTGTGACCATCATAAACTTCTAAATCTTTTTGTAATGTTTTTCACGGGCCCATATGATTTACTCGTACTTTGGAGAAGGTCTGCTATATCAGTGCAAAATTTTGTCAACTGTGGATTTTCTTATGATTTTATGTATGGTAGCAAAAATGAGAAAAGGGGGGGGTCGTATCTGCGCCTCATCTAAATTTCTCCGGAGATATTGAAGCTTGTTAGCTGCAAACTTGCTCTAATACGAGGCCATCCCTCTACTTCTCATCATAAGAGTTTCAGGCTGTTTCATAACTTCTCCGGTGAGATACAAAATTTCAAACTCAAAAATCCCACATTTTGCTTTCTAGTATCGCATCTAAATTGACGAGAGTCGCATCGAGATTTTTTTTGAGCTTACTGCACCTCAATGGCTGAAACTTTTTCCATGGATAGTATGGGCAGTCTACTACAAAGCATGTTCATTGTAGCCTCTCAATCTTTCCCTGCCTATAGTTGCGAATTTTCAAAATAACGTGCTCATGCACGTTTTTGACATCGTTCTGGATGGCGCAAACAGTTTTTTCCGCACGAAAATCCGCGCAAAAGGTAGGAAAAAAGCCTTTCGTCGAGAACATATTTTACGCTTCAAAGATTTCGTTTTTTCTCCCTTCAAAAAATGGTGTCGCGTACGGGGACAGAATTTGCTGGCCACAAGTATGCTTAAAAATTCAAAAAAAACTTGCAGAAACCCAAACATTATTGAAGGTGGGTATGCGTGCCAGAGATGTTGCACGTATCCCTTGACTCAGAAATTCTGCTTTCGAAGCTCCACTGTAGTCTCACACACTCGACAAAATCCCATATCTTTACCAACCGGCCAACGGGTGACCGTCAATAATTTGTAAATCTTAAAGTAAAGCTTAATTATCATTTAGATCGGAATCGATGTCCTGCTTTGTCAGATGATGTCCTCTCCATTCATATTTTCCTAACCACAACAAACATAGCTAAATCTTCGTGGAATTTTACTACTTACCCAACCTACGCATTATTTGTGAGTTGGTTTTTGAATGGCGAAGCATTACTTGCATTATTTCTCAATTTGTAAGTAGGTCTATTTCTGATCTATGATTTGATTGAGGTCCGTTGGCAGGCATCTTTTGAGATTGACATTCATTTATGCAGGTTACCGCAAAAGAAGGTAGGAGGGGTAGGCGGGAGGGGTGGAGGGTAGGTGGGAGGGGGGAGGGTAGGTGAGGAGGGGGTCGTACGGATAGGTACCTTCAGGGGAAGGGCAGAAGAGTGTCTAGGATCGCATCAACACGCTTGACTCTGTCGATGCCCTTCATTTCTCTACACCAATGTCTCCGGCCGGCCCGTGGGAGCTGCGAAATTCCAGTTGCAAGTCACTCGCTGTTGTAAATCAAGGTCTGAGGCTAATTCGTTCCGAGTGTTTGAGAACTAAACCACTGATTTAGCATGCTACCAACCTAGTATTTGCCATGAACATAGACTTGGAAAAAAAAACTAACTTCTTCTGAGAGTGATAATTCCGGACGAAGTTTTTCCTGTGAAGGAAAAACATGATTTGACAGATTGAAAAAAAAACTGAATGAATGAATGTTTTGAAGTAAATGAAGTCAATGATGTATGGCACGACCTCAAATAAGTGTTCCAAGCTCACCTTTTGAGCCACAGCACATCCTTAACTTACCTTTGAAGAAACATTTAGCGAATAGCATGCAGATATGTGGGCATGCAAATAATTTGTAGAGATAGCATAAACCTCGTCGTTTTCACAAGAGTAATTTGAGCCCTACTTATTTTCTGTGCTTTGAATACAACTGCTGTAAACACAAAAAAAACTGAGGCAAAAAATTTTTGGCTGGCTTCAATTAGTTTGCAAAAAGAAGTAGCTGAGTCACCTTCAAAAAAAGTTAATCATGTTTGAAAAGACCGTTTTATTTGAGTGGGTCAATATCTGGGAACTTTATAATCCGCTCATTAATCCAGGAGCTTACTTGACATGCTAATCATACGCTTCATAGAAAGATTCAGATAATGATTTTTTTAGCAGAAACGAAGTGCAGTCTTTCTCAATTACACCTCCCACCTCATATTAACTGCTCCGCTCCTCGCCCGAGGGCCGCATGCCTTGAAGGCAGTGTCCAGGCAAATCTGGGCGCATGTGTTTTCCGCCTGAAAATTGATGAGGGGGTCCCAACTAAGGCACTGCCCAAGAGGCAGTTCAAATTGTTCATTTATGGCTGAGCAATCCGTCCCCAAAAAGTCCGCACCTGCGCCGCGATCGTTACCCGAAAACGACTTTGCTCACTTTAACACCTACGTTCGCGCTGGGGCTCCCAAGTGTTACGGTCACGGCGCAGCCGCGGAGTGTTTGGGGACGGGTTTCTCAGCCATGAATGAATGATTTGCGCTGCCGTTTGGGCAATGCCTTCTAGGACCTCCTCGACGGTTTCCAGGAAAAAAATTCATATGCCCAGATTTACCTGGACACTGCCTTCACATCCCGCTGGGGAGGGGATCGCAGCTTGAAAGAAAGCTTTATATTCTGAAGCCCCAGGTATCTGGATTTCACGTTGTCTACCTATCCATAAGTATTATTACTATCCTTCACTATGAAAATATTGAACAGGGGCAAGAAGCTATGCAAGCTGCATTTTTGAAGCTTTTTATGATCCCTTAATGATCCCGGGAAACGACCGTCTACTTTTTTGAAGTCATTTTTCTTTTTTTCAAAGTTAATGAAAACATTCCAATGTTTTATTGTCTAACCCAACAGTGCTAAGCATGTTGCTGATAAGAACAAATGATGGTTTGGAGTCACGATAGTTTCGACGAACCACAGGTCGAAAGTTGCGGTTGGAAATTTCGATGTTTGAAAAACCCATTTGTTCTTATCAGCAATATGCTTAGCACTATAGGGTTGATAATGAGTATAACCTTGAAATTTTTATTGAAATTGAAGAAAGAAAAATGATTTTAAAGGATAAACGATTGTCCCCAGGGGATCATCAGGGGATCATACAAAAAGTTGGAAAATGCGGCATGTACCTTTCTACCTTGTACCTGTAAATTCTTGCCTCTGTTCAATATGTTCATAGTGAGGGATAGTAGGAGTACTGGATAAGTAGACAACGTAAAACCCAGATATTTGGAGCTTCAGGATATAAAGCTTTTCTTTCAAGCTGTGATCCCCTCCCAGCGGGGATGTTAGCGCATGCGGCCCTAAGAGTGCTTCTGTCCTCCTTTTCTTTCTCCACCCTACATCTTCTAATTTGCTGCTACTGCTTCTGCAAAAACATGACTCATGTTGCATAAATCTTTGGCTCATCGCATATTCTGACGATGCTTCAGGCTTTGATACGGAAAATGCGGGCAATGGTAAAAGGACTCGGATTTAGCGATGTGGCTTTGGGAAGTTCGGCATATTTGAACTATCTCTACCATGAGGTAAGTAACAAAATAAGTGTCCAGCTTCCACACATTGCGTAAGAAAAATTTTATATGGGAAAAGCGTCAACTTACAAGATGTCGTGCCATCCGGCGAGTCACCTAAGGGCTAAAAAACGAATTCATATTTCCTCTCTTTCCTCACATAAATTTTTGATTTCTTTTTGCAACTTTTGATCCAGTACGTACATTATCCATTTTTCCCAGACCGCTACTCTCCGATTAGTCAGAGCTTCTAGAAATGACGCGGCGCAGCTATGCTCCTGTGCTGTGCTCCGTGCTCTGCTGCAGTGCGTCTAGGAACAATTGTCGCAGCAAGCAATGTTAACATTGTTGAGTCTATTTATCGTGTTGTTTGCAATGGCGTTCTGTTTCTTGTTCACGTTGATTTTTCCTTCATGAGAGCCACTGCCAAGTCGTTTTTTTGCAAAGTCAATGGAACCGTTCAAAAATTTTGGTGCCGGGTAGTGATAACGATTTGGGTTGCATGGCGCAACTGGGGAGGTTTGCAACTCAAGATTAAGGAACGCAAATCGTAGAAGGAATAGGTATGCTACAGAGACTGTATGGAAAAAGTTACTATGGCGATAAGTTTATTCTTCAAAGCTGAGTTTGTCTCATAAGTGCTTATATTAAGGATTCAAAAGTATTGGGGCACCTAAAGAATAAATTCAGTTTTCTCAAATAGAAAAGCTAATCGGAAGTCCAAGTTTTGGCAGATGTTAGTACATAACAAGACCTTCTGATTAAGACTATAGTTGGGCACTGTCACGTGGCGTTATTTTTATACGCGCTTAAAATTAAAGCACATCACTTCAAGTGATTTTGAACTTTGAGCAGCAGCACCGCAGTAGAACAAGCGCGAGCCTACCAAAGTTATCTGCGCAGCAATGGGTGGGGACTATCACCAAATCCACGATAGCTCGGGGGTCCCAAGGCTTTAGAACAGAAGATATAGCAATGTTTGTCAAAAGACGTATTACTTATTCTTTCATCAAGGTAATCAAATAAGCTAAACCTTAACAGTTGCTTTCTGATAGTGCTTTTTACGCTGCATCCATACTTATGCAAATTACTTCGACTTTTTTTTATTTTCAAAAAATTATGGGCCAAAATATGAATTTTAGTCTGAAAATCTGCGCCAAACACCGCACTTTTTCGAATAAACTGCCTTTTGTGTATGAATGGGCAATTTTTGAATATTCAAGAATCATTAGAAAGAGCTTGGAGCTCTTTCGAATGTATGCCATATGTCGAGGACTTTCAGTTGCAGCAGCACAAATTCGGATGGCATTCAAAAAGTCTGTTTGACTTCTTTGAAGCGCCGCTCGAAGGAATGTCGGTGGAGTGCTGCAAGGTGCTGTCAAGATAACCTGCGAAGGTCACCTTATACAAAAGCGTTCAAATTGTGGTTGTTCATGGCTAATCAGAAAGAATGTTAGAAAAATCAAGATGCCCCATTACCTTTAGATCACCTTAATTTTAACAAATAATTGTCTACAAAGCTTTTCAGTCAACATTTCAAACATTATCAGATGTGTAATGAGTTTTTAGCGCATGCTTACCATGATGTGACCAAAAGTCATACATCCTCAATAATGTAATCTTCGTGATTAGCAATCAAGTTATCTCTGTTCATATAATCTTTTCTTGCAACACGCAATTTCTTCTCTTCCCGAATCTCTCTCGTTTTCAAGAATAACTATTTTTGTCCCAGTTGTAAAAAAATTAAGTTGCTCAAGAAGTTTTCGCTGATGAATGACTTGAAAGTCCCGCAAGGTAACTTCTTCTAAGATATTTAAGAAAATCAAGTGCAAACCGAAAAAAAATTTTTGTTTCATAGACAATCATTTTTAGCACTGTTCGTGTCTTGAAATCTTTTTTTACCACAAAAAAATTTGGTTTTTGATTTGGAGAAGAACGAAGAACTTGACTTTGTAAAGATTTAAAACCCATCATCAGTTGATAATCGTGTGCCAGAAAATTGAGCGACAAGATCAAACTTGTCCAGAACGTTGCAAGGGTTATGGAGAGGAGAAGCGAGAATGGGCTGAGAAAGGAAGTAAATGCAGGGGTAGCTGTAAAGACGTGTGGGTGAACTCCTGTTAGACATTTTCCCGTTCCATATTCTGTACTCACACATAAGCTTCTTGAGTGCGCTAGGCTAGCGCGTTGTGAAGAAGTCCTCTTGATAAAGCAAAAACTCGTTGTATTTACGTGTTTGACCCTTTCGGGCCTGAGTTTTTGCGAGTGAGTAAAAAGCCTCTCTCCTTTTGTTTCTTACTTACTACCATACAAATAACATTATAGCGGAGTTTGGAGCCTTTTTAACGTCATAAAGTAGTTCTTTTTGATTTTTCAATTTTTTGGTTCAGCATTTATTTTTGTTTTTCAAATCTTCCTCATTACATGTAGACCCGCGAACAGTTAGTAACTACACTTACACAACATTGTACTCAAATTTTCTTGAAATATTGTGGGTATTTTTGGGTAATAAAAGGGATTACTGACAGGGAGCTGAAGCTGGCGCAAGTTATTGATAAGTTGGTGTTCACTTGTACACAGAAATGTTTCTATTGGTGACAGGAAGGCAAATGAACACCCGGTTTTGAAGCTAGATTTGGAAGGCAAAGGCTATATGAAGCGATTTATAGCAGTGAGTAGTAAAGATATGCTCTTACGCCAGTGCAGCAGGTCTATGATTTGACGGTGGCAGTTGCCTCCACCAGGTCCGAAAGGGTTATTGTTTTGAAAGTTGTGATCATTGTTACATACCGTCGCTAATTTGCAAAGTCAGTAAATTCCTGTCATGCACATTTCTTTATGCAAGTTGCAGATTGTGAAGTTCATCAGCCACTATTCCCGTTAACATGATGAGCGTTAGCTTGGTGACGAGGATGGATGAGTTAGCATACGTTTCTGTCTCGATTAAAAATGTCAGCTGTAAATGAGATTGAAATCTGATTGCTGCGTCAAAAATTTGAGGATTTATGTGCTTGTCAAGAATGTTGATTAATGCATGTTCTCTAAAGTTCGAGTTTGAGTTACCTAATTTTCCTTCGAGATGATATCGCTGAATGCGTCAGGAAGTATCACTAACAGCAATGTTAGTGATAGTGATACTTAGCTATACAATGCATTATTTCGTGTAATGATAGCCGACACGAAAAGATGTTCCAGCGCAAAAAACTGTCAGGGAATTTTTCTAGTTTGAGAAAGCGTTACTTTCTCTCTAATGTATTAGGCTCATGGCTCGGGACAGCTGGCCCGGGTCAAGCTGGATATCATTTTTGCGGGTTAGCATGCCGGTCTTCGCTCGAATGCCACTCTCATGTCAACGGCATGCCGGTGCTAATACAGCAGCGTAATCCTGTCTCAAATAGATAAAAGCATCGTTTGCAGACAAAACTCAATCATATGACGCCAAATTTGGTGTGTGCATGTGCGTTAGGGGACCCGAACTATGGACCAAAAATTTATGAGAACTTATGTGAATGAAAGCTGTGCTAAACCTTTTTCTGAAATAGCCACCGTGCCAACTGGGTGCCAGCTGAAATGGCACCGACCCTTTGCTCGCATAAGTTTTCACATTTTTTACATAAGTTGTATCTACAGTGTAAGAGTTTACATACCGAGGAAAAAGGGTTTCATAATGTTTATGTGAGCGTTCTATAGCCATCTGAAAATTTCTCGGTCTTTGCAGTCGAAAAATCTGCTCCACTCACAGAAGGCGTTCTAAGCAAATGCAGCGCAAATTCCGCCTCATTTCATCCGGTGAAATTCAATAAATCTCGTCCTTGCATATTTTGATTGTTTATTCTTGTATTGTTCTTCGTGTTGTTGTATCTGTTTCGTTTCAGACGAATGGAGTCTTGCAGTTGCTTCCGTTTTTAGTATTTCGATCTTCTTAAGGTTTTTTACGACTAGGGTTTATAGTCAAAGGTTACTTCGTACGAAATTTTCAAGATTAAAGAGGAGTTCATTTTGAAATTCCCTGGTGTCAGCTGCCGGGCCCTGTCTAGGCTGTCCGAAAATCAATGCAGGTCCTTACTCGATCGCGACAGTGTGAATATAAAATTATGAGAGACATATCATTCGATAGAACAAAGCAACCTCTGCAATGCTGCATCGGAGAGATTGCAAAAGGGTAGAGCCACGTAAAGTTTGGAAGCAAAATCAAAAAGGAAATTCAAGTACCCAAAATCAGATTTTTGTGCAAACAGATTCTGCAGACTTTTAACATGCTCAGACATATACTGTCCACATCAAACATTCGAGTTGAGGTTTTTTTTTCTATGTTTAGAAACTAAGAAAATAAAAGTTAGTGCGCTTTAACAAATGCAATGCTGAGCCATTCTGACATAGTTATTTCTATACGATAGTTCTTTAGAAGTACAACCATAGATTTTCGGCTGACTTTAAGGGTTATTTTCTGAGAAATATTGAATTTAGCGTAATAAAACTAAAAAAGGCAATATTTTCGTATTTTTGGTCTATTTTAGATTTTCCTTCTCAGCTTTTGTAAGAATGTGGTAAGTGTGCGTATAAATGTCTGATGTAGGAAACACATGCGTGACCAAGTTGGATTTCTGCGGGAGCATTTTGGACGGAGATCTGATTTTTGGGTATTCAAATTTTTTTGAATTTTGTTTTTAAACTAAATAGATCAAATAGATCAAACTTTTGGCGATCAATCCAATGCGGTCTTGTAGAGACTCCTTTACTCTATCGAATGGTGTGCTTTCCACATTTTTGTACTGACACTGCTACATCGCTTAAGGAACGTGCATTAATTTCCGGACAACCTAATACTAGAATGGCGCAAATTTTACTCATTGCGTAGCCGATGAACGTTTGAAAAGCGAAGTCAAGCTTGGACTTTATAAATTTTTTTCTGCAAGAAATTGCAGAAGAATATAGAGCACTAACTTTTCCCTGCTTTACCCTTTGATTCATCAGGACTGGCAGGTAGAGGCGGGACCGCGATCGCTAATGAAGCC